TTCTAGCCCGGGCAATAAAACAACACCCCTGTTCTCTCTCCCTCTTCCTCTTTCTTCCTTTCCTTTATTCTTTTTTTTTTCCTTTTTTTTTTTTCTTTTTCTTTGTCTCTTTCTTCCTCTAAAAAAAAAAAAAAAATCATTTGAAATGGAGGACAAATGATGTAATTTTTAAAAAAGGAGAGGAGGGGCCAGGCACAGTGGCTCACATCTGTAATCCTAGCACTTTGGGAAGCCAAGGCCAGCAGATCACTTGAGATCAGGAGTTCAAAACTAGCTTGGCCAACAGAGTAAAACCCCATCTCTACTAAAAATACAAAAATTAGCCAGGAGTGGTGGCGCATGTCTATAATCCCAGCTACTTGGGAGGCTGAGGCAGGAGAATTGCTTGAACCCAGGAGGCAGAGGTTGCAGTGAGCTGAGATCACACCACTGCACTCCAGCCTGGGCAATACAGTGAAACTGTCTCAAAAAAAAAAGGAGAGGAGGAATAAATAAGGCATGCAATTGTTCTCATTTTCCAAAATCGCTACAAAAGATAAACTAAGAATTTCTTTTTCTTTTTTGGCTGGGTGTAGTGGCTCATGCCTATAATCCCAGCACTTTGGGAGGCCGAGGCAGGAGGATCACTTGAGGTCAGGAGTTTGAGACCAGCCTGACCAACAGGGTGAAACTTCGTCTCTACTAAAAATATAAAAATTAGCCAGGTGTGGTGGCAGGCACCTGTAGTCCCAACTACTCAGGATGCTGAGGCAGGAGAATCGCTTCAACCAGGGAGCTGGAGGATGCAGTGAGCCAAGATTGCACCACTGCATTCCAGCCTGGGTGACAGAGACTCTATCTCAAAAAAAAAAAAAAAAAAAAAAAAAAAAAGAAAAGAAAATTTTCTTTTTAAATTCCGCCTATTTATTGTCTATTTTTTTCTATATATATGTTTTTTTTTTTTCTCCAATCTCCTCTGCTTATACCTTCCAACTACCAATAATACTGACAAGCGGTCCTCAGATATGCTAGTTAGATTCAGAAATCCCTAGCCTAGAACATACTCAAATATTCGCACTTTTAATTTCAAAGATTTTTGCAAACCTAACATGATAGCAGTTGTACTAATACAGTTTGTTGATTAAAATAGAGATAAAAAACTAGTAGACTGCAATAATGTGTTAAAACAGAGTTGCATTTTATTAATCACAATAGCATCTACCAGTATTTAAATAGGTAGGAGCACATACTGAAATCTATATTATTTAGTTGGCCTATAGACAATGTTTGGTATGCATAGCAGACTGAAAACCAAAGTTGGGGCCTCAAGTGTTGGTGTTTAACAGAATCACCCTGTCAAGCTGCCAGCACTAACCAAGTCTTGTCTGTATTTCAGCATTTGTCCAATAGATGTCCCCACTCTTCTATCAAAGGAAAGCTACAGCAAAACAATACAAAATCTAAGAATAAGCAGTCACACAACAATGTGATCTGAGTACAAACAGAAAATACAATGCTTAATTGAAATCTTATTTTTTATCTTTCAGCTTTTTTCAGGGGAGAATTATTTACCTGCTATCTACAAAATCATGTTCATAAAGAAAATATAAGCAAGACAGCAAGACTCTGTCTCAAAAAAAAAAAAAAGTAAAATAACAAATGTGACTATTAATAGCTACAAATGCCATTTTAATACTACCTTATTTCATCAAACCTAAGATGCCACTGATTATAAGACATACTATTGTACATGCTGAAAAGAAATAGGGGAAATGCCTCCAAATAAATCATGGCACAAAACTTTATCATTTGGGGGTTTGTGTGTTTGTTTTTTTGTTTTTGAGGCAGAGTGTCACTCTGTTGCCCAGGCTGGTGTGCAGTGGTGCAATCCCCACTCACCGCAACCTCTGCCTTCCAGGTTCAAGTGAATCTCCTGCCTCAGCCTCCCAAGCAGCTGGGATTATAGGCATGCTACCACACCCAGCTAATGTTTGTATTTTTAGTAGAGAAAGAGTTTTGCCCTATTGCCTAGGCTGGTCTCAAGCTCCTGGCCTCAGGTGATACCCCTGCCTTGGCCTCCCAAAATGCTGGGATAACAGGAATGAGCCAATGCACCCGGCCTAGAATTTTTACTTAATACTGATTGTAAGAGTTAGTTTTTTAAAACTTATTTAAACAGAGTTTAATCATATATCATCATAAACTGTTTTCATAACTTTCTCCATACCCAGTAATTTCCTTTCAATGCTGATTCACAGAATATTCACATAGACACACTGAACAACAAAGTTAACATGGGAAATACCAACAATGCTCATATCTCAGCTGAGATGACGACAAAATGAATGGCCATGGTTATTATATCTGTGAATACACGGGCAAATAAATATACCAGGACTGCTGCTTTGCTGATAGAGACTGTTACAATGAAACCAAGTGTTAAGACTTAACTCAATTTCATTGTTAAAATAGGGAAAGCTGGGACCTTTAGAATTGATTAGATGCCAATTTTTTAAAAGATGGACAATAATTCAATGAATAATGAAATTTTTGGATACCCTAACACTGCTAGCCCATAATTCTTTCTGCTTCTGGATATGCTAGTGATATTCTGTACATCTCCAGCAGTCATTTCAAGTCCCTATTCCCTAACCTAGATTACAGCAGTTAAATTACTCCCTTGTTCATTCTTGTCTCTCCTTCCTCCATTTATTCTCAGCACAACCAGAGTACATTTTTAAAGCTAAATCAGATTGTGTCACTCCCTTGATTAAAGAGTGGAATGGTTTTCCCTCCCATTTTGAATAAAATTGTTGCATTATCTGCAAGGACCATAAAGGCAGGTACTTTTCCTCAAAGACAGCATGGATTTTGTTTTGTTTGCTGCTGTATCCTTAGTGCTGTGCACATGGCTGATTTCAATAAACATGTGATGAGTGAATGTGACTCTGGCTACCTCTCCAACTTCGCATCTCATTAAGTCTTCCCCTTATACAGTATATTCTTGCCCTTCAGCCTCCCTCCTGTTTCCTCAAAACTCCTTCCTATGAGGCCTTTGAAACTATTAGTGCTTCTTCATGAAATGATTTTACTCAAATGCTCAGCAAAGCTGGCTTCTCTTCAGAGCTCCACTGAAAGGGCACCTCCTAAAGGACACTTACCCTATTACAAAATCCCCTTCCCAACATAATTAACACTCCACCCAGAAAATCTTACTGAACAGTGCTAATGCCCAGTATTCCACCTTTGCAAGAGAAAAAAAGAAACAGAAATAATGAAGGAATGTATAAATAATAAAAATGGGGCTGGGCATAGTAGCTCACGTTGGTAATCCCAGCATTCTGGGAGGCAGAAGCAGGCAGATCACCTGAGGTCAATAGTTTGAGACCAGCCTGGCCAACATGGTGAAACCCTGTCTCTACTAAAAATACAAAAGTTAGCCAGCACGCACCTGTAAGTCCCAGCTACTTGGGAAGCAGAGGCAGGAGAATCGCTTAAACCCGGGAGCCGGAGGTTGCAGTGATCCAAGATCACACCACCGCACTCCAGCCTGGGACAGAGCAAAACTCTGTCTCGAAAAATAATAATAATAATAATAATAAAATGGGCCAGGCATGGGCGTACTGCCTGTAATCCCACTACTTTGGGAAGCCAAGGCGGGAGGATTGCTTGAGGCCAGGAGTTCAAGACCAGCCTAGGAAACAGAGAGAGAGTGTGTCTCTACAAAAAAAAATTTTTTTTTTTAATTAACAACACATGGTGGCAGCATGCACCTGTAGACCTAGCTACAGGGAGGCTAAGGCAGAAGGCTCACTTAATTCCAGGAGTTCAAGGCTACAGTGAGCCATGATCGTGCCACTGCACTCCAGCCTGGGTGACAGAGTGAGACCCTATCTCTAAAAATAAAAATTTTAAATTAAAAAAAAAAAATGACTGGAAGCATACACATAACAAAAGTTAACGGTTATCACTAGGTAACAATACCTTGGATTATAAGTTTTTATTAATCTATTTCCTAATTTTACAATAGATTTCCAGTGTAATAAAATCATGTTTTTAAAAAACAATGATGTTCTACTTCAAAAATAAAAAATGGCCCCCATTGTAAATAAATATTTCAGACTTTTGACAAAAGGAAAAATTATAGAACAACCTACAAACTTAAAAGTATTTTTTCAATTATTATTTTGCTGCTTTGGGAATATGCTATTTTTTTAACCTCCTTCTTCACATTTCATTTAAAAGAAATTATTCAGACTCATACTAACACAAACTGGGGTTTTATTTTCCCCTGCCCAAATGTGAAAATTATCTGAAGTCTGACCATATATAGAAAAATTATGGCTTTTAATTTTTTTAATTCAATATAAGATGATTTCTTCCTTTATGTCTTCTTAAAATACTACTTTTCTAATATTTAGAAAAGTAGAAAATTATCACTAGTCACCCAGGTCAGCTAAAAATAAGTAACACCATGTCTCTACATCACTCTCTCCAGCAATGCCTCCATGGCAGCCAATGCTTTTTATCACGTATCTTTTACAGCAAGGCAACAGTTTCCATGGAAACCACAGGGCAAATATCCATTATTGCTGCCAAGGACTTTTATAAGCAAACATAAGCTGAGATGACTGCTTACTCTCTTTTATTAATATTTTTAAATTGAGCAATAGTTAGCTACTCTGATTCTGGTTTTGTTGTGTTTGTTGTCTCTGTGAACAAATCTAGAAATGAGTGAAAAATCAAGAAAATTCTGCACCCCTCTAAGCAACAAACAAACTCTCGAAATCAGGGGAGCAGGAGAGAAAAGACCCAGAAAGTCACTAAGCCTGCATACATACCAGACAATGTCATCCCATACAACAGAGCAAATCAGAATAGAAATCAGTGACGCACTTAAATACAAAAGATGAAATTCTCTTCCAAAAGCACAGCAGACTGCGTACATTAATCGGGGCCAAGATGCTGATTAATCAGGGGAAAAAAAGACAAATCATAAAACTAAAAAAGTAGACACATACCTCTCTCAACATATTGTTCTCTTTTTCCTTCTGCTCTAAAAGGCTTTCTAGGTGGTGAACGTGCATCTCTGCCTCTGCCAGTCGTCTTGTTCTCTCATGGTCTTCCTCAGTAGCCTTGGCAGAAAGTCCTTTGCTCTGCAACATCTCCAGAAGCTTCTTGATGGATTCATCCCTAGCATTTAGGGTCTGCTTTTGAGTCTCAATACGCAGCTCCATTTCCTCCAATGTCTTTCGAAGAAGAAATAGCTCTTTGGCCTGCCGCTCATGCTCAGCATGAAGCCTCTGAAAGTTCTCCTCCGTCAGCTCTGCTACACAAGGTTCGCCAGTCCTACTGCTACTATCTTGCTGAAACAGCTGATTCAGGTCCCTCTGGATCCGCAATTCATCCTGGAGAGCCTGGATCGTCATCTGCATATGCTAGAACCAAGACAAAAAGAAAACCCCAAATCAGCTTTCTTCCTCAAGTAGCAAATCAGAGCAGACTTTGCAGGAATCAAAAATAGCTATAAGAAATCTGCATCTAGCAAATTAGGATTCACCTTATTCTGTTTTACAGGTCCTTAAAAAATGATTGAGATAACAGGCAAAATGTCAGTAATTTAACTTGGGTTTATTCCCAACAGGAAGCAAAACAGTATGGCACTCCTCACTTTGCATAAACGATAATAAAAAACACTGTTCAAAATTAATAGAAGGTATTACACAGAAACTAAGGTTGAGTGAATGCAGGAAATGGAAAATCTACAGGAATATGAATTCATTCATTCATTCATTTTTCTTCAAAAAATACAAAGGGTGGCCAGGCATGGGGGCTCACACCAGTAATTCCAGCACTTTCAGGGGCCGAGGCAGGTGGATCACCTGAGGCCAGGAGTTCGAGACCAGCCTGGCCAACATGATAAAACCCCATTTCTACTAAAAATACAAAAATTGGCTGGGCACTGTCACTCATACCTGTAATCCTAGCACTTTGGGAGGCCAAGGCAAGCAGATCATGAGGTCAGGAGTTTGAGATCAGCCTGGCTAACATGGTGAAACCCCGTCTCTACTAAAAATATAAAAATTAGTCAGGCATGGTAGCGCACACCTGTAATCCCAACTACTCCGGAGGCTGAGGCAGAAGAATTGCTTGAACCTGGGAGGCGGAGTTTGCAGTGAGCCAAGATCAGGCCACTGCACTCCAGCCTGGGTGACAAAGCAAGACTCTATCTCAAAAAGAAAAAATAAAGCATAGCAAAACACAAAATGACTTTTAAGTATTATAAACATTAAATAATAAATATTAACATTTAACAAGTGGTTTGTATATGCCAGATTGTGCCACACATTTTTATGTTATTCAATCTTCATGACAACACATGATGACCTTTATCATTTTATTGTAGTAAAAACCCTTAATATGACATCTACTCTCCTAACAACTTTTAAGTGTACAACACATTATCGTTGACTACAGGTACAATGTTGTACATCAAATCTCTAGAGCTTATTCATCTTTACCAAAAGTTTATGCCCGTTGATTAGTAACTCTCTATTTCCCCCCATCCCCGGCAACTACCATTACACTTTTTGATTCTGTGAATTTAACTATTTTAGATACCCAACACATGTACTATTACTTAATTTTATAGATAAGGGCACTAGGCTGAGAGAGATTTAAGCACTTGCCCAAGATCACACAGTAAGTTATAGAGCTGGCATTCAAAGCAATCCTTGCAGCCCACTGAAACTAGAACCAAGACAAAAAGAAAACTCCAAATCAGCTTTCCTCCTGTAGTAGCAAAAACAGAGCAGACTGAGGAAATCAAAACTAGTAATACCCAAAGATGATAATACAGCAAAGGTTTTTTTAGTTAGAATACGCAAAGCTTTTTATACAGGGGACAATAACAACATGGTGACTAATTAAAGGTGTTAATGCAGATAAACTACTAAAAATGTTTGAGAGGGCATATCTTTAGCTTGTATGCCTAAAGAAGTTATATGAACCTTTATTTAGATAAGTAAATTCCAGCACATTATACAATGAATTCCAAAAGGCTGTTACATCAAGAAACTTATCTTTAGGAATGAAGAAGCAACAATAAAAGATCATTCCTTGTATTCAAGGCCTAGGAGTATACCACACTGGGAAGAACACTAAACTGGGATGAAAAAACATGAGTTTTGGTTCTGGCTCTCACACTGACTAGTTATGACATTTAGACATGTCACCATCTTTCTGGGTTTCAGGTTCCTCATACTTTAAACGAGGGTATAAATACATGCATTATCCACTTAAAAAATCTTTTTTTTAAAACAAGGTACCTGCTGTATTAGTTTGTTTTCACACTGCTGATAAAGACATACCCAAAACTGGAAACAAAAAGAGGTTTAATTGAACGTACAGTTCCACATGGCTGGGGAAGCCTCAGAATCATGGTGTGAGGCAAAAGGCACTTCTTACATGGCAGCAGCAAGAGAAAATAAGGAAGAAGCAAAAGCAGAAACCCCTGATAAACCCATCAGATCTCATAACACTTATTCACTATCCCAAGAATAGCATGGAAAAGACCAGCCCCTATGATTCAACTACCTCCCCCTGGGTCCCTCCTACAACATGTGGGAATTCTGGGAGATACACTTCAAGTTGAGATTTGATTAGGGACATAGCCAAACCATTATCACCTGCCAATGTTTTTCAGCCTTAAAAAGAAAAAAATTCTTATACATGCTACAACATGGATGAACCTTAAAGACATTGTGCTAAGGGAAGTAAGTCAATCACAAAAAGACAAACACTGTACATATCCATTTACATGAGGTATTAGGGCAGTCAAATTGATAAAGAAGGAAATAGAACAGTGGTTGCCAGGACGTAGGAGGAGGAGGAGGAAATGGGGAGTTACTGTTTAACGGATATAGAGTTTCAATCTGTCAAGATGAAAAAGAGTTCTGGAGAAAGATGGTGGTGATTTCGCAACAACATGAATATACTACTAAACTGCACACTTGAAAATGGTTAAGACAATAAATTTTATGTTATACGTATTTTGCCATAATAAAAAATTAGAGAGAACATGTCTTTCATAGAATTCCACTTATGGATATTTTCTCATTTTTCACTATTTCACTAGATGCACCTTCATATATGTATCTTTATACATGAACCCGCATTTTTCTTGAGAAAAAAATTCTCAAAGAAGGAATTGCTGGATCACAAAGTATGCACAATTGTAATTTTGATACATATTACAAGTTATTTCTATATGTATCTTTGTATATATCTACTTTTGTGACTCCTCTCTTCTTGTTCTTTGCCCATTTTGCCATTGAACATTTTTTTCCTAATCCATTTTAAGAGTTCTTCATATCAGGAAAATAATCTTTCACCTGCTGTGTATGTTACAAATATTTTTCCAAATCTGTTATTTTTAACATTTTTATGATGACTTTTAATAAATATTTTGTTTTTTATTATAAAGATAATGACATTTTCCTTTACTATTTCTGGTTTGGGTATTACGCTTTTAGCAAGCAGTGAACTTTCAATTCTGGTAGTCTTCAAACTCTTGAAAAGCACTGCTATTTCTTCAAAGAATAAACTTACACACAAAAAAAAAAAATCATGGACCAGGTACAGTTGCAGCACTTTGGACCATCCTGGCCAACATGGTGAAACCCCATCTCTACTAAAATACAAAAAATGTGTGTGGTGGTACATGCCTGTAGTCCCAGCTACTCAGGAGACTGAAGCTGGGGAATCGCTTGAAACCAGGAGACATATATTGCTGTGGGCCGAGATATCGCACCACTGCACTCTAGCCTGGTGAAAGAGCAAGACTCCATCACAACGAAAAAAGTATCAGGTATTTAAATTTACAAATATAAATTTTAAAATGCATTTCATTACCAGCATCATCTTTTAAAGACTAACAGCTGCTAGAGTTCAAAAGACCTTCAATAAAAAGATGCATCAAAATGCTAATTCTCTGAAGCCTAGATTCTTTCCCCTGGAAGTCAAAAAAATCCTAACACTCCTGAGTGAATATATCCCAAAAGGAAATACCAGAAGTTAAATTCAACAGGGGAGGTGCTTTCTCGGTATGACTGTTCCTTCTTTTTTGAACATTCATCATCAATTCACTCAAGTCAGGAGAAATATGGCTAGAGCTAATAGTTTCACAAACGCTTTGGCACATATGGCTAAATGTAGCATGGCAATTACTATTTTGGTAAAGAAAGAAAACTACTAATGTGTTTGGTTCTTCAGCTCTGCTTGCACCCATTTTACTATAGTATAAAAATAAAACAATGCTCTGACTGGTAGCCTAGAATCTACACAGCAGTTTTCCCCACTGAAATATAAACCAACATTTCCTCTTTTGGCTACAATCAGGCTAGCTTTATTTTATAAAAATTCCTGCCAACTCCTTCAGAAGAAAAAAAGCAGACTACAAGCCAGCCTACTCTTTCTCCAGCATATTCACACAGAGGATAAAATGGGCATATTCACACATCACAGACATCTATAATGATCAAACAAAAACAGATACATTGAGTTTAAGGAAACATCTAAGTTGTAAGATGTTACTAGAATGTCTATTTGGGAAGTCTGTTTCCAACACACTGCAAATTTTATAGCAACACCCACTAGTCTACTTCTCACTCTAACACTCAGCTTGATTTTAAAGGGCTGGGCAAGTATTTGCCTAAAATTTACTCCAGGGACTGTACTATTATTACACCAAGCAATATCTCAATGAAATGGTAGGATATTGTGAACAACAGCAATGAAAATTCTTAACTATCTGACAGGGACTATGACTTTTATTACAATAATGTATCTGCAAAAACAATGACAGATCACAATTACTATTCTTATATTTTAGATAAATATCAGAAGCTCCTCTGAGGCAGAACTTCCAACAAATAAACTATCATTAGTTTCTTAGAACAAGAGTACACTTTGATCCCATTTATTCTCATTCCTAAAATAACTGAACTATGTAGTCTAGAGATATTTTTAGTGAAAAAAAATTATAGATACATAAAATGGTCATGATTACATATAATATATCACAGAAAACTCAATATACTGTTTATCAAGAAGATCAGAGTCAGAGAAAACTCCAGTATTGCACCCTATTATAAATGTTAAATCAAAAACAATTTTTTTCTGAAACATAAATACATGTATGCAAAAGAGTTTTAAATAATTCTTAAGTCAACCAAGTCAAGCTTCCAGTCTCCTTGGGCTATCTGATGTTCTCTGTGCTGCCCAGGGCTGTATGTATATCCATAAAATAGCACTTACCAACTGATCCGCAATTTAATTCTTTGTATTTATCATCAATAAACTTTCTAGGACTTAGGACTGTTATCTTTTTACCCTGGGCACAGCACAGTAATTGACTACCATAAGTACTCAATAAATT